GAGTGCAGGTTTCTTCAATCTTCCTTCACAAGGACACTAAGCTGACATGGAATATTTTCTTCTACAGAATCTGGCCTGACAAAACCGGGAGGGTTTACAGCAGGCTAAAGAAGGAATTTTGGTTCCCTTCCCCAGTAAATCTTTAGAGGGGAGAAAGGGAATTCTTCAGACACACACAGAACATTAGGGGAAAACATTGCAGAAGATAACCCAGAGACCAGGAAACAATACAGCGAGCTTTTGTTCTGCAAGCACATTTGTGATTTGCAGCATTTTCATCCAAGATAAAGCACAACCAATGTAACTTGTCTATCAGGATATAAATCCTAACACAAATACAGACACACACCTCTCTACATGGTGTCTGTCTGTAGCCCCTCTACCTGGCACAAGTGAGGAAGAGTGGGACTCTCTTTAATCAGTACTATTCTTGATCTAAAATCACGTGTGCTGGCCACTCAAAGGGCCAGCTCCAGGCAGCCCCACTTTGCTTTTCATGTGAGAAAATCACATGCAAATATCCAGAATTGAGGCTTTTCTGATAAATGCTGAACAGAACGAGCCGAAGGTGCCCACTTTCTAACTGTGAGACACTTTTCTGTGGGAACAAATTAGCCCACACAAATCAGTGCCTCACCTTAGCTGCAAAACAAAGCCAGGGGTTTGTCTGAGATTTCCACAGTACATTCCCCTTGTGCAGCTGTTTTGACATTAGCAGCTGGATGCAATCACCACTCAGCAGCTACATCAGACTTCCTGCAGCAGTCAATGGGGAAGATATAAAAAACCTTATACAACCAACCAAGAAAATGACTCAGTTTGGAGGGGTCTTACACACACAGCCAGCCAGCAGATGTTATTAGCTCTGAGCTTTAAGAACTGGGGACATATAATTTCACTTTGGATTGCACATGTTTCTTCCCGTTTGTTTTCCCATTGATCTTAATGTCATCTGGCAGTCTTTTCTTTAATGTTTTACTGTGTTTCTTTGAAAACTAGACACTTAGTAGTAGTATAGTTTAGTTTAGTTGGGCCAAGTTGTAACAGGCAAAACCCCCTTTGACTTTAAAATTGAGCAACAGCTCTAGGATTATTTTTCCAGCAGATTAGATCAAGTTTGGCTCTAGTCAGACATATCTTTTTTCCTTAATTCCTTTTTCAAATCTTCAACATCTGTACAGAACATGGTGGACTCCTTTGTCAACTTCAATGGAACTAAAGCCTATTGCTTGTCTTTATAGAATTCATTTTTGATATACAGCGCTCTGGGAAGTCTACACTGGGGCTGTACTGAAAACACAAGGGTTGTTCAGCATGAAGATAGACCTTGGGCTATGCTCACAGCAGAGCAGGGAGTTCCACCAGGTACACGCACATACTTCCACTGAATCAGGTTCAGACACAGTACTGCCCTCTCCTGTGCTTTTAAGGACTCGAATTTAAAACTTTAGAAAAGTACAATTGTAACATCTTCCAAGTGCCACAGGTCAGTGTCACACAGTCACACAGCCACTGCCTCACAGTGAATTAGGGGCTCTCTGAGCTACCAAAACAGGCTTGATGTGGTAGAAAAAAGTAGGGTCTGTAGGAAGAAGTCTATTACAGTCAATACTTCTGAAGCAGAAAAGCCGGATGTTACATGTGTTACCTGCACTGCTTTGCTAGAACTCTCTTCCTAAACTAATATTGCTATTTCACCCTCAGCCTCTTGATTCACAAGGTAGCAGGTATGTTCCATTACACTCTTGTGAGATGACTGCGGCAAGAGTAGTATTGGCCTGAAATGGCGCAATGTCTTTCTTACACCAAAACAGACAACACTCAACTAGGTCAAAGATAACAACAGAATCCTGCATTGCAGTCCATTACCAAATAAATGTTAGTGAGGCTGCTCTGTCCCTTCAGGAAATGTTTAGAGGACTGGAAACCCTAGAAATTACATATCATCACTATCTTTTGGGTATTAAGTTATCAATTGTTATTTCATTTACTGATTCAGCTAAAGAAAAGCACTCCATAGTTTGCTTTGGGTCCATGAGAAGTTAGTTTGGTGATGCACTCCTCAGACAACTCTTGGCTGGCATGACTATGCGAGATTTCAGTTAAAGGAAGGACTGCTGGAGTGACAAGATGTTTAAGGATACAACTGACTAAGTGTGCAGCAAAAGACATGTACAAAACATGTAGCCATCCATTTCCCTTTGATTAAAAGAAGGTCTTTGAAGGAAAATCACTTTCTGGGCTCATTTGCCATCGCTGTCCCTAATGACATCAGAAAGACTGATGGGCTCTACTCAGAGACAGATGCTCTTTTCACTGTATCTTTCCCTGTCCTGAATCATGCAGTATTCTGCCCTCATTTTGATTTCCTGATACACTTCCCTGAGTGTTGGCAATAGGGTCATGTTCTTCAGTGGCATCTGCCACTCAGTGCCCCAGACACAAAATGTGCATCTTTTGCCCAAAAGAGGTTCCTTCTGACAGCTGAGTAAATAAAGCCCCAACTCTTAACATTTCAAAGAAAGGAGGTGTTTTGGTATGAACCCATTACCCCTTGTCCTATCTCTACAGTCCCTGATGAAGGGGACTTATATGTGATCATTATACATTTCCAGGAGGGTCAATATCAGCTATGAGCCTAAAATTCTGTTACTGGTTTCCAGTACCACCTGCCACACGAGGGCCTCGTCTGTTTAAACTCAGTCAAAAGGCTTCTTCTTAAAGAACATGAGTTTGTTAAGAATAAAGTTAATAAATAATGGAGCAGTCAGAAGATCTTACAGTATAATTAAGTTACAACAGACTGAAGTCACTGAGATGTCTCTCACAACTATTTGGCTGAACGGTGAAGCAATGCGGATAACGCTATTTACAATCCCATAACCAAGGGTAGCTATTTATCCCAAAGTGCTAAAACTCCTCCATAGAGTTCAGAAAAGAAGCAGATTTCCATAAAACATTACATTTTTAAGATACAAAGCCAAATTTTGTAAGAGCTTTGTAAGTGAAAAGTACCATGCAGAAATTACTGCATGAAGAAACAGCTTCCTTCATAGTAAACTCAGTTTTAAGCCACTATCTGATCCAGGCTGACTAATTTTTATTGCTGGAGACTAGATGTAAAATCAGGGTGAACTAGTACTACCAGGTTTAAATATCTGAATTGTAAGTGACCATGGCTAGAAATACTGTTTTTCTCCTGATTTGTCAGAATACTTCAAATAAAGAAGTGTTTCAGGCCCATCTGTCAGGTTCCTCCCATGAGCAGGAAGAAATTACTCTGCATTCTTCTTATATAAAGCATGACATCAAATCACATTGCCTGTTCTCAAAAGAGTAAAATTCTTAAAGGCAGGTGTAAATGTGCTGTTTCTTCAGCGCAGTGAACCCTTAAGTTTGCAATCACACTGATAATGCTTGATTAATACTTGAAATAAATTCCAAAGCAAACTCATCTCTTTACTCTCTCCTAAGCTTGATCTTGAAATATAAGTGATAGAAAGTTTTTTTTTAAAACGTATAATGTAAAAATGTAAAGGGTTTTTCTTTCAGAAGAGGCTGGAATTCTGGTACTGCATATGGGGAAAAATGAACAAAGCCTCAGACTGACCCATTTCTTCAGACAAAACAATCTTCACAGATAGGCAGTTTTCTTGTACAGGGAATGAAAATGACACCAAAGGGGAAGTGCAGTCAGAAAAGATAAAAGCAAGGCAGATTCTTAACTCATTGAAGATCAGGAGAACTCAGAGACTTTGGTCACCTCCAAGCTTTGGACAAATCTTGTATCAAAATGTTGGAACTCTTGAAGAAATATCAGTGTAAGGCTTGTGAAAAGCTGCCTCTTTCTTCATCTGCATTAGCGAAGGCAGATTCCAACATTTTCACTCCTGTAATGTATTTTCACTCCCCCATTCCTTTCTCTGCTGTAAATAGTCCCACTAGTTGAGGACACATCAATATGAACATGAACTCTGTTTTGTTATTATAATACAACTGTAATGAAGACCAAATGGAGCAAAATTACAGTCCTTCCTGCAAAACAAGTAAAACAACTTGTATCTAGAGGAGTTCCAAAATTAAAATCATTACCACATACTGTACAGATACTTGTTAATAACTTTATCAGTAGCTGCATTGCAAGGATTTTCTTTCCCTTTGCATAAGCACATTTCTCTGCCAGATTTGAAGGCAGTTTCTGGAAGCTGGATAAAGACCTTATCTCCTTTTGCTCTTCCCCAGGGTGGGAGAGAGCTGCATGAGTGCATCTTTCACTCCAGTGCCATGAGTTTTAAGAATCTACCTTGTAGACAGTTGCAAGGTTGTAATGTCATCTAGGGTGTGCAAACAAAAGTGCTAAGAAGGAATAGTATCTAAGTTGTTAATATGCTGTCAGATTAATGAAATGGGTACGACATGTCAATACAGATGTCAGTGGTACGAGAAACATGGGGAAGTGCTGCAACAGAGCACAGCAGTCTAGCATTTCATTACCTATTGTGTCTATTGGTCATCCACTAGCTAAAATCTTGCATAAGGTGGCTGCAAAACTTTGCATCACCTGAGGTGATAACTACATAGGAGACAAGACCAATGGTCATATGAGACAAGAAGATATCTGCGGCTATTTGATGCTGTGACAGATCTGGTGACAGCTAGCTTATGGCCACCCTCCCTCGGGAGCGTCTCCATAACCATTACAGTGCAGTTTCAAACCCAGGAAGATGCTCTGCTTCAGGCTGGCTTGTAGCACACTTATTCACTTGAGTCTCATTTGTTGAAGTGCTGAACGCCTGCAGTTCCCTCTGATTTCAGGGGGTGTACAGGATACTCAGCGCTTCCAAAAACCAAGGAGGATTTCAATTTATCTGGAACACAAACACTTTATATGCATTATGGATGTAGACATTACAGTGTTCTTGGTCTCTGAGGTGATCCTTTCTTTAAAGGACAAATAGCACTATCAGTTGAGAACTATTAAAACCAAAACTAGCTCTTACATGATAAATTCTGTCAGGTTGCACCATTTTTTAGAGTCCACTTTCTTCATCATCTCTTCAAAGGATTTTCCACAGGCAGGCAACTTTTCTAACATGAGAGATTCATTGCAGAGATTAGTCTGTTGACGAGCACCTAGGTAAAATCAGAAAGCACCTTAAATCTCAATCACTGAAATAGAAGCAGCACAAACATATCGCTCACAAGTTACATTGTTGTAAACCTATCAGTTAACTTTCCAAACAATTTTAGAAAATAGATAAAATGCATCTTTAAATAAATTAATTCAAAACATAACTTAGCATTAAATACTATAGGTTGCCATATATAGTATCATCTTTTAGACCTAACATAGAGGAACCTACCTGTTCAGTTTTCTAACCTTACTATCTAGTAATACTACTTATACTATACTGACTTACAAACTAACATAGAAATGCCTATTTGCATTGTTAATTAAAAGCTAACTGCAGTTACTGACCATATACTTAAGTGTAGAAAGCGCTTCTCAAGCTCACACAGGTGCATCCCATTCAACTAACTGGCTGTAAATGTACTTCAACATCAAGAACACTTGTGTGTCTTATCAGCTAAAGGGCTTGAATTCCCACAGCCACAGTTTAGCTTTCCCTTTAGTGTATCCACTAAAAGAATTATCTACCATTATCAGATGCTAATGTTGCAGCAAACAGCTACTGACAAAGAATGAATTAACCTTGACTTGAGCAAACCTGTTTATTTTGCAACCTGAAGTGGCAATTCCACAATATTTAGAGCCAAAGTCACAGGCTTTTCTCATCCAGCCCCTATCTGCATTGGAATATAAAGACTGTAGCTTGTTATTTCTTATAAACTTAAAATTCTGCAAAAAATCTATTCGGACTAACTAAAGCTTTTGATTTTGATAAGGCTGAAACATTTTGTTTTGATGAATTAAATATGCCTTGCTTTACCTTTATAAATGCCACTAGTTTGATTATTCTTCTATATACAAAAAGCACACCTTTTGTAGAACACTAAAATTACCTGAAAGCATATGTATGTCAATTTATTTAATACAAATGCCTAAATTAAATTAGTCAGAAAAACCTCAGTGTGATTACTTCTCTTTAGAGCAGCACAAACCAGAGAAAAGGATTTACCTGAACAAAACTGCAACCCTAGCAGATCCTCCTGTGTCAAACAACCCTCCTGAGAACTCTGGAGGAACAGCTCTTATATGAATAAAGCCAAGAACAGATTACTTCATCCTTTTTAATCATTGAAGAAAGAAGTCTAAGTAGAATCATGTCTTACACCTTTTTCTTCCTGAACTACATTTTTCACTGAGACCCTCTTCATACCAGGGAGAGGAGGTATTTATTTTCCTTCTGTTAGTTACTTTTAAAGCAGGATCCCATCATTGCTGAAAAGAGCCAATGGTTCCAATTATGTGTGATGACAGGCAAACACACTGCCAGGTGAAGTAGGTCGAAGGCATGTAAGTCTTTACTTGAGAAGTCAGGCGCAGCCCTCACTCTCAACAGTGTTCCTTACTGTTCAGTCCAAAAAACCTAAGCCAAGAGGACTGGTTCCAGGCTTCACATCATGACCCAGCCATCAGTCATTAACTTGAACATCTCATTCAGAATGGGCCATGTGATTGGAAGACAGGCTGGAGTGCACATTAAGTGTCTCACCCAGCGAGAGGGCTTTGGAGCCTGGGCAGGAGTACATTGCAACTCAGACTGTCGCAGCCAACATCTTAGCTGAGGAAGTCACTGACTCAGTGATGCCATGTGCCAAAGGAGACACAGCCGTCACATCTGACCAAAGAAACACTTCACTTTCACATCCTTTCCAAAAGTATACTCTCCATAACTGAGACCCTAAGCCTGCTATTTCATACAGACCACAAACCTCTCCGGGCATACGGCTGACTGACTGGGAACCAAGCCTACATCCTTTGCCATGTCTGACTGACAGAGCTCATAAAGCTGATGCTAAGCCTTCATCCATGTCAGAAAAATATCAATTAATCAGCAGTGATAGAAATGGTGAAAGTTATGAAATAGGGGCAGCATAACTCTGTCCTTGGAAAGTTAACATGGTAGCGTGGGGCCTGCCTATTTTAAGTGTTTCTGCCAATGCATCTGGCGGCTGCAGCAGCTACGTTTTACGTTCCACTGCTAGATCTGCAGATAAACACTAAAGCTGGGCAGAATTCAAAACCAGATATGAAAGTTGCATAGCTGGCAACTTAAATCCTGCATTGATGCTTTGACAAAAGTTAAGCAAAGCTGCCTTCCCTGGCAGAGTATTCTAACCAACCAGCTGTCATTTGATTTATAACTGTAAATCCAACAGAATACAAGTGTCTCCTCCATTACATCATGTGCACTGACAATTTACTCCATCTCCTTCCCCAGCAGGGTGTTTAAATGGATTTTCCATGGCCTTGGTATTTTTGGTTAGCTTTCTTTAGAACTTCAATATTTTGCAGGGTTATAGAAAAAACTCTGACAGAGTCATTTGACAGAAACAATCTGATGATGCAAGAGTTTCTGTCTAAATCCCTGGCCAAAGGGATTTGAAATTAAGAATAATTCTACTGTTTTACTATCACTCTTGAGACTGACCTTTACAAAACACTACAGAACTTTCTGTTCATACAGCTGATGGAGATGACCAGTTGACCAACTGAAATGAGACAGGATGGAAGTGCTTCTCAGATAGCTGCCATCAATAAAACAGAGAAGTTTGAAGTTTAAAAGCAAAGCTCACCTGCGAATCCAAGCGTCATCAGACCATTAACTAGAGGAGGGGGAAAAAAGAGAGACGAGTTAGATACCTGCATGCTGTTATGTCAAAGACAGTACAGATACAAGCAAACCTGAGCATAATTTAGGCTTCAAGAGAATACTCAGAAGTATTCATTTGATCATTAGTTTCAGTTTTATCGAAGAGTGAGTCTGAATGGAAAAAATAACATTTAGAGCATGATGCTTTTAAATTCCTTTTTACCTATCCTTTAAATGCCTGAGTCATGCAAACATATGGGTCTATCCACACCACTCTTTCCTCTAGATTCCAATGTTAAGAATTAGGGACAGGGAAAATTTTACTTTAAGCTTCTTGAGCATGAAAAAGTCAGAGAAATAACACATTTGCTCAAAACACAGGTGAACTGCACATTCTAAAGTGTAAAGCAAAAAAAACCCCAAACCCTTTTGCTATTAAAATCAAGCAAGCACAGAATCATAAATGTGTACTATATTCGTTGAGAAATGTAATGCTGCTTTTCATGGTATCCACCTTTTGCACGGTGAAATCATACATTTTGAAAACCATTACAGTCAAAACACATAAGCTTCTCCCACAGATGTTACTTTAACAGGTATGTCAGAAGAGCATCCAAATGGAAACACAGACTATGCCAACAGAAGGAGTCTTCTTATTAGCGATCTGCAGTACATTCAGATGGGTTAGAACAGAAGCCCACTGTGTTTGCACAGCTCCAGCCACACTTAGGATTTTGCAGATAGAGCTAAAAGGGATGTGGCTTCAATTGTTTTTGATGTCCCACTGAAAAGAAGAAAAATTGCTGACAAATCTTTACAGTATTAAGTATATAGTATGCATCAGAAATGAGTAATTTCACACACATGGGAGCCCCCCTCCTTCTTGTTTATACTCTACATGTCACACCAGTAGAATGAATCAAGCTATATACATAGCAGAATATTAGTTCAAATCATATTGATTTAGCCTGTACAGTCACTGCAATATGCCAAGCTCTCAACTGAGTTAACTGCAAATTGTGTACATACATCTGAGGAGAATTTAGACCCTTCCAAGGAACGTATTTTTCTTCCAGACAAGCATTAAACTCTGTCTTGGTTACTAATGAGACAGAATGTACCGAAACTGTAAAAAGCAGGAATCCAAGTATCCAAAAATTGAGTTGCATCCAACACACAGAGCTGAAACACCATTACACACTCTGGTGGCTCTATCTCTTTCACAAATAAAGTGCTGCTCTTTCCAGACTGTAATGCCAGGTGTAATACCAGTAAATATACTTGAGTCTCTTTATCCTCACTTGAAAAATGTGACTGATCAGCTGCAGAATACTGAAGATCAAATTAAAAGCACCCAATTTCTGAGGGAGCCAAACCCACTGATTCTGAGGAAAGGGGTCTAGATGCGTACAGGTGCCTTAGATGCTCCCCTGGAGGACCACAGCCTGCACCTCAAATTTTCTATCAATTCCAGTCACCAATCTCTAAATCCTTCATAGTTATTGCTGTAGTAATCCTCATGAGACCATGGAGAGGCAAATAAACCAGGAATTACAGCAAGAGAGAATCAGAGAAAACGAGTCCATATTTTACAGAGAAGAGGCTGAGTGACTACCCTAGTGTCAGGCAGGGAAGCTGTGATAAACCAAGTACTGAATAAAGGCTCTCAGGTTTGTGCTCACGGATCCCCCTGCTCACATGAAAGCATGCTTTTTGCATGTTCTGATCTGCTCATGACAAAGTAACACAGGATGTTTTGCACCTATCCTCAACCAAGAAAGTCCAGATACCTTCAGAGAAGGGTGAAACAAAAATGCAGACCACCACGTGCTATCATGCCCACCTCTCTTTGTTTCGTTACTCCCAGGTATTCAACTCATAACAAAGATTTAATCAAGAGACTACAGCTTGTTGGCCATGACAGTTTACACAGAAAGTATGACTCTTCCATCAGATATTTTAGGAAGGGGCAAGTTCAGCTTATTTCTTGAGAGGCTGATGCCATCACATCTCATTAGAAGATACACAGAGGAAGTAAAGCGGGTCACAGCATTGGAAGATGCTCCCATGACCCCAAAATAAACAGTTGCCACACACTCCTACATGAACCAACATCTAAAGGAGAAAAAAGGAGGTTCAGTTTAACTCTGCCAGTTGACTACAGGTTAAATCCTGTTAATAATGAACCACAATGGCCTTTAACTTTTATTTTCTCCATACACTGTAGCAGCACGTATGATTGCCCCTAGCATTAGTGGAATTAGATGTGAAGGGGCCAGCCAGCATGAAGCCACAGCACGAGGTGAAGGAAAGCATCACTGAAATAAAGATGGGGAAAAATCAGTTTTAAGAGCCTATGGAAAGAAAAACAAAATAGGATAAGTGATAGAAAATAAGAAAGCCAAGGAAAAAAACAAGTTTTTACTAATAACCTTCTTGTATATGAAAAAAGAGAAAATCTGGTTCTAGACCTTCACTGCAGCCTCTTATTATTCACTCTCTACCCTCCTTTTGTAAACAGGCATTCTTCTGGCATGAAAAAGGGAAGTCAGAATGGGATTCACAGCACCATGTAAATTCACTATTGGGATACATGAGAGGGTAACTGTCCTACAATTCTTCAGGTACATAAAGTTCTGTTTTCCTCTAGAATGAATAAATATTTCTAAATGGTTGTTTTCCTGCTATACTGTTATTATTCCCTGGCATTCTCCCTTGAGGCTTAAAATTAGCACTGGAAGTCTTTGGATTTGAAGCAGCCTCTGAATTGCTGTGTGCTCTTCCTACTGCATGTTTCTCCAAACGCTTTGTGAGGATAATTCTGAAAACCTTGTTTATGAGGGAGATGTCAGAACATTTGCCTTTGCTTGGTCATTTCTTGAGGCTGCTGCACTGCCTGACGGGATAGGAAGATTTCTGAGCAGCTCCAAGACTTTCTCAGAATGCATGTATCAAATAATTCTTGTTTTACCTAACCACTGTATGCAGTTCTTCACCAGCAATTACAACAAAAGAACATATAATGGCCTCAAGTTAAACCTACTGTCAAGACCCTACTTCTATACCTCTTTCTAAAGACAATCCCCCCAGTTGCAATCATCTAATCTTTAACTATGTGTCAGGACATCAGATTCTATTGGAAGTTATGCATTAAGCAAACACCTGCCTCTCTGCAGAGCTTGAGGTTTCATGGATAGCTTTACTGATGCCGATATTGAAGCTTTACTGATAGTGTGCAAAAACTGCTCTAACATACAGTTCATGAGAGTAGGTGAAACCACAGTTTGAAATGGCAACTGCCATTCTGCAGTTCTGCACCTCTGATTTGATGGAAACACAAGAGAAAGATTAACACTCTATTGGTATCATTTTGTCATAATGATCACATCTCTTTATCCACATTTATTTTATAAATCTGATTTTAAATACTGAGCAAATCAATCTTATAGAAGTGTACCAATGTTTCATCAGGTATTTAACTGTAACATAAATTTACCTGTTGTGTGGGTGGCATTAAAGACCATGTTAAATTCACTCATCTTTTATGTAAATCCCAAGTTATACCAATACCGTTACAGGTTCTCTGGCAGGAATGCACAGAGACTTTGGGGTATCTAATGCATAAGAGACTCCCATGGAAATAACTCCATCTATGCTCTGACACTACGTCAAGTGCATCCTACTGCATCAGAAAAACAGTGATTACAAGTAGCTAAGGGTTCTTTATTACCTATCTTCCTGACATTTACAAGCTCAAGAGCCTCATTTCACTAGGATTTTTATGAATATAGAAGGAAAAGATGAGCTAACACAAGCATCACTTGGCTGCTTTCCAAAGAGTTCTGTAAAAGCCCTTAAAGGGGGCAAGTAAAATGTTATGTGGCCAAGACGCAGCAGAATCTGAAGAGGCTAAGCAACCCCAAAGCTTGATGGGAAAGCCCACAAAAGTCTGAGCACTTCTTCTTTGAATAAGACTAAGACAAAACAGTTTCTTCAAAGGTATCTCATCAAACACACCTTTTCCCCTGCATAATCTCTATGCCTTTCTTCAGACAAATACCATCAGTAAGCATTGCTTAAAGGCACATCAAGGTACATCTCTGTCTTCCAATTTTGCATTATGTTAGGGCACTCAGTTTTGTATCAACAACTCACTCACAGTGCTGGCAGGAGGGGCAGAGGTGGACCAAGTAAGGATACGAACTGGACATGCAGAAACCAGTCCCTACAGTAAGAAAAACAGGCAAAAGAACTTAGACCATTTCTGTCCTTTCAGCTTAAAGCCAAGGTTTGCTACACCAGCTGTTGGGAGAAAAGGTACTCATCTTTAGCTAGTATGAAAGAGCACTGATTGAGTTCTGACCATGCCACCCTGCTGAGGAGCAGACTGACGTAGGCTGATTTACCAGACATGGTAACTGAGGTACTGAAACAGATTTGACTTAACACCCACAGTGCCACTGCCTGAAAATGGGAGAAGTCTTAACACAGATAGTTTCCTATAGGGCTGCTGAAGCTTGAAGCCATGTATTTCTCAGCGGCCACACAAGATACCTTGTGCTGCAGGGAGCTGGCTTGTCCTCCCCCTGCTGCAGCCTTCATCCTTCCTGCCCTTATAGGCCTAGTTTATACCCCACAAACTGCAGCTCTGGGTTATTTTTTAAATTATAAACTGCTTCTCTGAGCCCAATACTCATTCCAGTCTAATCACACCAGGATGCCAAGCCCCCAACAGAGAACAAAGTGATAATTTAGCATGAAATTGGTATACAGATGGGCAAAGCATAAACTTCTGTTATTAAAATGTCTTAAACACATTCAAGGGAAAAAGAATTGATGATGACTGGTGATGAGCTGGGGTGACCCCAGCACCATCCCCCAAGATGGGCAGAGCCACGAGTGGGAAACTGGCTCTATTGGCAGCTCCAGTGTGGCCGGGATGAACCAGGGAGTGCAGCAGCAGCAGCAGATAGGCCCAGAGGCCAGGTTGGATGGAGTCTTGGATGACATGGT